CCCCAAAACCCCAAAACCCCAAAACCCCATAATCTAGTATAATGATAAATATTTTGAGAATGAAAAATAGTGCATTTGAAAAGAATGAAAGCCAGTTAAATTATAAATATAAAAATTAAATTTGATTCCAATGGATTAGTCTGGTTAATCAAGAACTAACTTGTAAAAATAGGATGCTGCCAAAAATATTATTCAAGATTAAGAAGAGGATATTATTCTATAAGAAGCTATTCTCTAATCACTAAAACCTAGCTATGCGTAGAATCAGATATATGATGTCAAGAAAGAAAACTAAATATAGGAAGTATTTGGTAATAAAGAATAAATTAGATCAAGTCATAATATCAATGAATCGAATAAACTCATAAATATTTAGAAGCCAAAGTAACATAGTGAGACAGCACATGATGATTTATTCTAAATTATTGATTACAAGAAGCAGATAGGTTAGAAATAAAATGCAATTTTAATAACTGAACGAAAAGAATTAGATTTTAGCAAATAGGGTAAGAAAGTTGATGAACCAGATAAATATGACTAAGGTATCAACTAGATATAATAACCAAGAACAAGGCCTTATATGTTTGAAATCTAACAAGCATTATAATAGTAGAACAGAAATTAAATGATGTAAAATTAAAACAGTTTACAATTATTAAGACAAGTACCTTCTGCTAACGAATACATTAAACCAAGCACAGTCAACATTGTTGCAGACCCAAATAAAAAATCAGGATAGTAGACTTCTCAATACTAAACTTCTATAGACGGACTTGATGAGCTTTTGAAATATAAACAGATTCCAGGATAGGGTAAAATAGGCGATCATCCAGATTGAAAATTATTGAAGAAATCAATTGAATCAATTATAAAGCTACCTATCAATTCAATTAGCTATTAGGAGATTAAGTTCACAGCCCTAAGGAAATTTTTGGATCAAAAGAATAAAGAGCTTCGGAAGTAGCTTATATCTAAGAGAGATGAGCGAATTGAGTATCTCAAAAGAAAATTTGATCAAGAGTTAATGAAGCTTTCATAATTAATGCTTAATTAAAATTCAGCGCAATAAATTGATAAACTTTATTAGGAAATAGTAATAGAATAGAGGTTATCAATAAAAGCTGGAACCTCAACATGCTAGAATTATGATAGTTTCATTGATGAGATTAATCAACTTTTCCAGAAATACAAGAAAGATCTTGACTACCATCATCGAAGTATTATATTTAGATTCAAGAAATCTACAGAAAAATGGGATATTGATTTGTTCGAAGAAGTTAAGAATTTATCACAGAACTTTAATTCTACATTTTAATTTAGAATTGATAAAGCTTAAAATCAACTTTAATACATTTAAAATAAGCCAACAAATTTTCAAAGTAAATTATTAATAATTGAAGATGGGTTTAAAAATGACTATGCTAAACTAAAACAACCATAAATAAAACCAATAGATAACTTTCCTACTGGTATCTCAAGGCCATATTACTATGATTAATAATTTGAAGTTGATGAGAAGAGCACTATATTATAAAAGAGATTATAACGTGTCCATTACTAAGACGATTTGGAAAAATTAAGTCTAAAGAGGTAAAAGATTGTAGATGACAGTGACATTAGCCAATTCATGGTTGATGATAAATTTGATTAGATTATAAAGAACTTAGACTATGAAGTGCAATAAGATTAAAAACTGGATTATATCATAGAGTCTACTGCGAAAAGGAATCCTCTGATATAAAGTAAAATAGAAAAAGATTAATCTAAATTTTCTGAAATGGATAAATCTCTCTCCGAATTAGATTCAATCATTAGTCATCGTAAGCAAGGAAATAATAAAAGGTAGCAACAAGTGATAGAGAACAGTAGAGCATTAAATTCAAATATCTAAAGAAAGCCATTGAAAGGTTAGAACTATTATTTTAAAGAAGACAAGCTAAATGTTTTTGAAGTTTAGTAAACTTCAGAAAGCTAAGTAAAAAATCAAGAAAATTTTATTGACAAATCGTATATTAATCCGGCAGTAATTTAATAATTTGAATAAGTCCCAAGCATTAATAATGTGCCTAAGCATTCAGATAGAAAGACACAGCAATAAATATTGAGTAGAGACAAAGAACGAAGAAATAGTTCCTCCAATACTTTGTCTGAATTATCAGAAGTTGAGAAAATAGATGATCAGAGCTATTTCTGATAGGTGACTTTGTACCGACCTTGACCTGTAAGATATCAGAACAGTACAATTTTCTCTGGAGAAATAGCGTAATTCAATATTAATTTCATGAATAGAAAAGATTTTCTGAATAATAATTATAAATCACCTCATTTATTTTAATCCAAATTTGACGGGGTTTTGGGGTTTTGGGGTTTCGGGG